CACTCACTCCTCACTCACTCTCTCTCTCTCTCTCTCTCTCTCTCTCTCTCTCTCTCTCTCTCTCTCTCTCTCTCTCTCTCTCTCTCTCTCTCTCTCTCTCTCTCTCTCCAAACACACACATACACAAATGCATATATATGTACTTGTATTGATAGATAAGAGAGAGAAAGAGAGAGAGAGAGAGAGAGAGAGAGAGAGAATCAATTATCTATATATTATTGAATAGAATGGTAATGACCTAATTTCATAGACACCTTTGTTTCAAAATATAATGGCCCCCCCTTTTTGACATAATGCATTCAAAGAAAACGTTCTAAGCTAAACTAAAATAAAGCATATACCTCTCTGAGTGGTTCTGTTTATACAATATATATAATTAGAAATTTTATCCACTATTGAAATGTATTGTGCTGAATATAAACAAAAAGGCTCATCACACATGCACACATCCACCCACCCACACCCACACCCACGTTATAATTGGGCCTAACCTACTTTATACCTCCGGGTATAGTGTAAGCTAGTATAAACTGTCACCAGAGGTCAGAATATACCCTTGTAACAATTAAAATCATTTTTTTTTATGACTGGCACAATCAGCTTGTTGGGATGGCACTGTAGTATACAGTAGATGTGCAGTCTAATGAGTGGCTAACTTATCCAGCAAGGTTTGAACATGCCGAATTTTGAAAGACATGAGCACTTCAAAGTGGTTTTGAATGTTGTTTGAATATATATCTGTTACCAATCAGAATAAATCTTAATTAGTAATACTAATTTCATAATTAAGGTTAGTTTTGTTTTGAAATTAATATACATGCCGATAATATGAATGATAATAATAATCATTATCATCATTATTATTGTGGTTGCAAGGCGAAACAAAAAAGGATGCTTGCCTTTCGTTATATCTTTGTTTGAAATCCTTTCGATATGAATGATAATAATAATAATAAGTATTATTAATATCATTACTGCGGTTGCAAGGCGAAGGAAAAAAGGATGCTTGTCTCTCGTTATATCTTTATTTGAAATAATTTCTACACTGCAATACCACAAATGACCACCGATGCAGACCTACCGGCCATACGTTTGTTTACTTCACCAGCCAGCGATCCTCCGTCCCTGCAACGGTCGTGCTGCCAGCCTTCCCAGTCTCAGTTCAGTGGTTGAACGAAGGAGACTGTTAGACAATTAACGAGCTCAGCCCCGTAGCGACACGATTGAACATTATGGGTACAGAATACCACACACACACACACACACACACACACACACACAAATATATATATATATATATATATATATATATATATATATAATATATTATATATACATCACTAATCTAAATGCAGTTATTGTTGTAATTATTATTACAAACTTACTATTCAAAATCGTGATGAGTCACAAATTGACAAAAGATAATATTCAATTCTGACCATAATAAAGTGAATCCTTGTCCAGAGTATAAACCAGAGATATGCATATAAAATTTTCAAAATATGGCGGCCTTTCCGGTATATAAAATGATTTATGATAGAATGCTTCTGATATATTAATCTTATTGAAATTGTGCTGTGCTTTATAACTGGTTGTTTCTTTCATATTTTCTTAAGTAAAAAATATGACGAGACTAGATTTGAACATCATAATATTTTGACCTCAATGACTGGTTGTTTCTTTCATATTTTTAAATAAAAAATATGAGACTAGATTCGAACATTTTAATATCTTGACCTCAACCTATTAACGTTCTTTCGGAAATGTAAATGCTCTTAAATGAGCTATCTTCTTACGTTCCCAATTTTCAACATCATACAGATTATTACTGATTATAAAAAAGTATGAATAATAAAACGAATACTGTATATAATCCAATCAGCTATTATCTATGGAAGACGAACGGGGCTTCTAAATGTAACAGGACAGCCTTACCCAAACCTTGTTAATTATTGTCCTGATGTCGTACTGCCTTTTTGGTCTTATGTCTTATATTTATACCCTTTTCCCTGATTGAAAATGTTAGTAAACATGTTGCATCTTTTGTAGGTTCTGGAATTCAAATGATTAATCAAATTCTCCTTCCTGGCGGTTTAGAGAATCTATGAACTAATTATTCAGGTCTTCACTTTGCTTGTTAAATGATGACTACTATCTCACATGGTAAATGATGACTCTATTACGCTGTTAAATTGTTACCTTTCTACTTAATCGGCAAAACTCCAATAATAATGTAAATCAAATACACTGTTCACAGTGAGCGGGAGGTATATATTACTTAAGAATAGTAAAGGGAACAGTGTCCCTTACTCTCATTCACACATGACATGGACTGAGCACATGTCTAATGGCTAATGCAGTTTTTATATTTACAATGTATAGTTGGGCTCTGGATAATGACATTTATGAAGCATTCATTTTATTTTACTGTTAATGATATGTTATCACGAGTTCAACAAGTTTTCATTGTATAGTGAATCAATTCTAGGTATTCTTTAAAAGAAAAAGTTCTTTCACTGTGATTTGACAAGCGAAAGAGAAAAAGAAACTATGTATATGAGTTGCAGTGCATGACAAACACCGTACTTTAATGGCAGTGGAAGTTGTTTCTTTTACACAGCTCTGAGGATCCGACGTCCATTTCTTTAATTCTAGAGTGCCTTCAGGGTAACCTTGACTCCACCCTTGGCCCTAATGATACCCATTCCAGGCTCCAGCACGATTTCTTCGTGTCCTGGTGCAGGGTGCAGCTCTCCCGCAAGCAACAGTTTCGACAAGACAACCTTGGCTTCCATTAGGGCAAACCTCATGGCTGGAAAATATAAGATTCCATCAAAACATCAAATCTTGCAAATGTATACAAGCTAATCAGATTCTTTCTCTCCCCTCCTAACACAGTTCAAAATCCTAAAGACTCACCAAGGCAGTTCCTGGGTCCTATTCCAAAAGGCATGTGGGCGAAGTTCTTTTGGCTGGCCCTGTTCTCGGGCAAAAAGCGCTCCGGACGGAACTCATTTGGCTCGGGCCAGTACTTAGGGTCATGGTGGATACTCCAGACAGGGCACTGTACTTTGTCACCAGCCTTGATCGTCAGGTCAGTGCCAGGAAGCCTGCGGTGCCAAGGTATTAGTAAGCGTGGGAAAATAAACGTTAGAGATAACCTAACAAGAGATCATTGCCATTGCAATAACTAACGACATTCCCAGACTATCCAAGTCACCCACAAGCTATTTTCGCATTTTCTGGGAACTATTACTCCACTATCTGCTCACACATATACATATGAAAGCAATATAATTGTTATTCATCAAACCATTTCGACACTACTCATTCGAAGCTAGCCCAATTTTGAAAAATTATATGCAAATGAGAATATGATTCATAAGGAAGTGTTGGCATTTTAGTTTTGAGCATCTGAGTTACTTTCTGGCAGTACCCAAAACATCCATGGAATACCTAATTAGCTATAATTATTGCATGACAGCGATTTCATTGCCCTACAATGACGTTAATTTGTATTTCCTAGTTGTGGAATTCATGGATTTTAGCATTGCTACTTACCGATAGTCACGTGTGCATATTCGTTCTATAAATGGTGCTGGAGGAAACAGGCGTAGTGTTTCTGTTGAATAAATGTATATGTATATATCTATATCTATATATCTAAACATATATATACTTTAAGTATATCTATACATCTATAGAGAGAGACAGAGACAGGGTAGACCAGAGCAGGGGCAGAGAGACACACACACACATGTAGTTACACAGAAAAACATTGTTAGAAAATCATGCAAAGTTGTTAACGCAACAAAACTGTATACCTGATTTTCCAACTACTTTTGGGTGTGTGGCTATCCGATATTGCAAGGCATATTCCATCCCTTTCGGAAATAAAATCATCTCACAGTGAATCCATATAAATTCTGGAACAACTATACGAGACATGAATCAGAACGAGACCAATTAAAAACCTAAAATACCAACCCTTCTGTAACATAAGGTTCTATTAGGTATAAGGTAGCTATGATGACTATATTGTTGCATTTCAGAGACCTAAATGCTTTTCATTGGCAACTTATTGTCACTGTAACAGAAAAATGCAGAATTCAGTTGAATGTTGGAACTTACCCATCAAACATGCATCGAGGTATTTAGCTTCCATGACCCCTTGGTAAGTAATATCACCTTCTTCATGAACCAAATCTTGGATCTCTTGACGGAGTTTTCCTTGTGCACTTGGATTCTTAGCCAACTGAAAGGCAGCAAAGCCTAGAGTAGTAGCTGTGGTTTCATAGCCAGCAATGAGGAACAACAGGCACTGGGAGGCGATGGTGGTGTCATCCAGCACTGTTTGGGAGATCCAGACCAGATTACTAATGTGAACACAATAACGTGTAACTTCTGAAGAGTTCGAAACGCAAAGCATTATTTTCATTTATTATTGTGGCTGTTTTCCTTTCACTAATGCCGATATTATGGTGAAATAACATCTTGCAATATTTGGTGTGAGAATAGAAAGTTATGAACCCAGTACTTACGATATTTTGACTTGGTAGTACTATCAACTCCAGTTCCTTTCACTTCCTTGGCGGCGCCATCAGGATTGCGAGCTTCCAAGAGTAAGTCCAGGAAATCCCCACGTCTTTCTCCTTTCATTCTTTCCTTTATTGTGTGTCTTACAACTTCCTCCAGGAAATCAGCTTCAGGATGAGTGAACCGGAGGTTGAGCAACTTTGCTAGGCTAGGTAACGTATTCATAAATAAGAATTTTAGAATATCGAAAGGAGTTGCTTCGAAAATTTTGTCAGCTCTTTTGGGGAATTCGGCGTCTTCGTCTACAAGTGAATTGCACTCGATGCCAAAGGCGCAAGAGGCAATAGTGTCTATGGTAAAGCGACCAAAATTGTATTTCATATCAACATAGGGTTTCCCTCGCGAGTCATTGAGAGAGAAAGCGACGAAGGCGTCGGCCTTTTCACACACAAGAGGAAACATTCCCTTCATTTTGCCCGAAGAGAAGGTCGGACTCATGATGGCTCTCAGCTGTTTCCATTCTTCTCCTTTCTTTAACGACAACATTTGAGCCGTCATCTTGTCTTTTTCGTGTGGCAATGCTAAAGTCATTCTGTCGACGAAGTGGTCAAAGTCCTTCACGAGGATGTTTGAGGAGGTCGGATCCCCCACCAGCAGGACCGGCGTAAAGAATTCATACAGTCCACAAAACTTCGATCCGCCATATTTGTGATAAGCCTGGAAGGAGATTTAGACAAAATATTCCCGTTAATGAACTAGAGTATATATATATATATATATATATATATATATATATATATATATAATATATATATTATCCGTGTCTTATGCAGTGCAGATACATTCATGTTTTGATACTTAGAAAAAACATTATTGTAATTATGAAGACTGTTGTAAGTGAATTATCTTTTTCTGTCTGTCCTCGCCCGTCAAACATTTAACTGACAATGCTGTAGCGATTTTTAACGTTCTTAATTTATCCCATATCGCTACTTGATTTGTCAATGGCATAATTAAAATTATAAATGAACACCATTCGATTTTATATATCAAAAGCTATTAAATACGTGTTTAAAGGTAGAGCAACAAATATCTTAATTTAAACAGTCATATCTAACAAAACTCACAATACAGTTCGTACACACACACACACACACACACACACACACACATATATATATATATATAGTTCAGGATCTGGGACGTGGCCAAACATTTGGGGGCATCTTTTAGGTTTTATGAAAAGAATATACATGATTAAACAAAAATGTTTGCTTAGTTGAACCTCGGCAAATATTGCCTAAATAAAAGTCCACTTCTTAAATGTTAGTTATTGCTATCAGTGAATTAATGAGAACCCATCTCTTAGGCAATCATCCATCAGGCACCTTAGTAGCCATTCAGGTCACTTATTGTTGTTGAAAGGTACAATTATACTCATTTATATATTCTAGTAATGAACCGTATTCATGTTGACAAATGTAGAAAGGTATGAATGAGAATAAATATCTCCACAATCACAATGCAAGAGATGTATTTGACCATTTTCGAATATATCTTCGTCAGAAATACATGTATTTCTGACAATGTATTAGAAACCGGTCAAATGTATCTTTAGTATTGTAAAGATATTCATTTTCATTCATACCTTTCAACATATTCTAGTAAATCTCCCATCCATCAAGGGTCCGGGGGGAGAGGCGGACCCCCCCCCCTCCTCTGCCATTGGAAAAATAAGGACAAATAGCATGTTGACGCTAAATTATTTTCTTTCCTATAAATAAATTCAGCAGGTCTATTTCTAAATATTCCAATGTTTTTCCCTGCTCTTCCTAAAATCCCGCGACACACTATACTGGACGAAGTAATTTGGAATTCTGATAAACATAAGAATGCAAAAAAAAGACAAACAGCCATTACCACTGAATCATACTTCCATTTCCCTTCCCTCGAGAGCGCTTGATGCATGTGACCAAGGATAGGGACGTACGGCGGCGTCGGCACACCCCTCGAGGCCCAGTAGCTGTGGCGCCATTTCGAGTACGCCCACAGCGCAGCCACCGCCACGCACAGCAGCGCTAGCGTCACGAGACTCATGCTCTGTGTTGGTGCTTCTGCTTTTCAGCCATGAAAAGAAAATCAGTAGAATTTTTTGTTATTCTTATGCTTCTTTGTATTAACTTCATGTGATGAAGGGAGGTCATTATGGCGCTCCTCTCAATTCGTCTCTCTCTCTCTCTCTCTCTCTCTCTCTCTCTCTCTCTCTCTCTCTCTCTCTCTCTCTCTCTCTCTCTCTCTACACACACACACATATATAAATACATGCGGGTGTGTGTGGTATTTTTGTGTGTGAAAAAGTAATAACAAATTTCCTGATTGATGAATATGCCATCTTAGGAACATTTAGGTTAGACGAAACTTTTTATGGAACAAAACTGATGGTGTTTTTTCGGAGAATGAGATATGCTTAGGCTATTTTTCCCACTGTAAATTACTCCAGATGAAAAACTATCAGATTCATAAAAGACACAGAAAAAAACTCGATCAAAGGAACTTCAAAAAGTGATTGGAAGAAATTCCAGAGTGGCTTTTTATCTTAACCGATAAAAAAGTAATGTAATGAAGAAAGAAAAACTATTCCTGAAAAAATTTGTAATTTTCTATATTACGTCCGCATAACCGATATCGACGATTTTGGTACCGTTGGATTCCTCTCACTCTATACAATGCAAATATGTAGGTTTTATTGCTCGAAAACCCCCGTTAGCGACAAACTTGGCCCCGATAGCAAGGGAGGGCATGGAACGTTCCAGGGAAAATGCGGGGTTAAATAACACTAATAATATAACGCACAGTGAAACTAACCATGGTTATTTACATGACTTTCCTTTGCAGGGGGCTGTGCACCCTGCTCCCCCGGGGGGGGGGGCTACCGCCCCCCAACCCCCGCCGAGGAAACAAAACCACCACGTATTCCCGGCAGGCTAGAGCGTTACACAATCATCGTCGATGTCGGAGGGTTTTGCGCCTCTTTCGATGTTACACCGATGGCCTCAAGGTCGAGTTTCCCGTCCTCTGGAATAACGACATCCGTATTCCTAACCGAAATAACCGTCGCGTTCAGTAGTCAGTTATAGCCGCCGCGATGGCCGAGTGTGGAGGGTGCTCGTACTCGGAGACGGATTTCCTGCGCGAAATATCGACCAGCCAGGAAGAAATGTTAGAGATGTCTGTGGCCGCAGGAAAAAGCACTTCGCGGGGTACCTGGCTCGGTGCATGTTCCTCATGCACTACCAGGACCTGAATGTGAGGTTGCACCACTTCCTGTGTGCTGCAGCGTCGCTGTATCCTCCGGCCTAGGACCTCCTGCCGGACGCACCCTGCCTCCTTCACCTTCTGCGGCAAAGGAGCACCCTCCCCACTATTAGCGGCATCTATCAATTAGGTTAGTACCTTAAAAATCCTAGGTTATTGTAAGTTATCGGCTCCGCATCTAGTTCGTGTGCTCTCTATCCTGCCGTAAATACGTGATGGAGGTTTTGTTTCCTCGGCGGGGGGGGGCAGCACCCCCCCCCAGGGGGGTCGCAGAGGGCGCGGCCCTTGCAATGGAAAGTCATGTGAATAACCATGATTATTTTCACTGTGAGGTTATATTATTAGGGTAATTTTATGTATTACGTCCGCCGCTCCGACATCGTCGCCCCGCTATCGGGCCAAGTTTGCCGCTAACGGGGGTTTCCGAGCAATAAAACCTACATATTTGCATTGTATAGAGTGAGAGGAATCCAACGATACCAAAATCGTCGATATCGGTTCTGCGGACGTAATACAGAAAATTACCTTTTTTAACTTCAAAACAATACCTGGAGTTAGTCTGCATCAAGAACTTGAGATATTCGAGGATATCACCACATTTCCTGTACGAAAATTGTTCTTAATACACAGTGTAATGTTTATGCGGATGTAGATACGTGAATTATAATTTTGTCCTAATATCCGATATTTTTAATCGAGTCATCTACTTACAGTAAGAAGAAAACGGGCACAGACTAGCCTTAGAAGGAAAATACTGAGAAATATACTGTTATCTGTTTAAAGTGCATTTGACTGCATCATATCGCGATGATAGTGTAATCAACGGCTTATAATTTTCATTTAAAGATTCATAACCCCTCTGTCACGTAAATAAGTATGCCACGTTTGTTTCCCAAAAATGAGGCGATATCATTAAATACATTGAATCCACAATATAACCAAACTGAAATATCGTAGATGTTCTTAAAGATTGTTTTTATTTCTATTTTCATGATTTTGTTGTTTAAATAAAAGAAGGGCATATCATATAATTTTCATCAGTAATACATTAATCAGACTAGTAATATTCCTAAAACTGATTGTATTTATTATTTGTTATCATCATTACATCTAAAACGAATATATTCATCATAATTGGAAGTATAGCTGTGACCCAGCCCTCACGATCTCCTCTCTATGATATGTGAAAAATTGTGTTGTCTTTGTTCTCCTTTGTCTCCTTTCATTCCCCTTTTTCTCTCCCTACCTTCTCGTCCCTTCCTCTCTCCCTCTCGTTCTCCTCTTGCACTCCTTCCTTTTCTCCCTCCCTCTCTGATTTCTCATTCTCTCTGATTTCTCCTTCATCCTTACCTCCTTCTTTTCCCTCCTTCCTCCTCCCCCTCCATCCCATCTCGCCCTCTCCTCCCTCGGCCACCCCTGCTCCCTCTCTCCTACCCCCATCCCTTTCCCCTCCCCACCCACCCCTCTCTCCCTTACCCCAAACCCCTAAACCTTTCACCCTCTCTTCTCCTCCTTTCCTTCCCCCCCTCCTACCCCTCTTCTCATCTTCTCCCCCTTCTCCCCATCTTTCCTCGCAATCTCATTCCCTACACCTTCCCCCCTTCCTACCCCTTCTTTCCTCCCCCTCCTCCCCCTCCTTCCCCTCTCTCTCATCTCCACTTTTCCTCACCGATCTCTTCCCCTTCCCTTCTCCTCTTCTCCCTCCCTCCCCTCCTCCTCCCCTCTCTCTCATCTCCATCTTTTCCTCACCAATCCCTTCCCCTTCCCATCTCCCTCTTTCCCCTCTTCCTCCAACTTTCGCCACCAACTCTTCCCTTTCCCTTCTCCCCTCTCCCTCCCCCTCTCTTCTCATTCCCCATCTTTTCCTCACCGATCTCTTCCCCTTCCCTTCTCCTCCTCTCCCCTCTCTCTCATCTCCAACTTTCCTCTCCATCTCTTCCCCTTCCCTTCTCCCCCTTCTCCATCTTCCCCTCCTCTCCCCCCTCCTCCATCTTTTCCTCACAATCTCCTCCCTTCCCTTCTCCCTTCCTTCCTTCCCTTTCCCCTCCTCTCTCTCATTATCCAACTTTTCCTCACCGATCTCTTTCCCTTCCCTTCCCTCTTCTCCCTCCCTCCTTTCCCCTCCCTCTCTCTTCATCCCCAACTTTTCCTCACCAGTCTCTTTCCCCTTCTCCCTCCCTTCCCTCCTCCTCCCCTCTCTCTCATCTCAATCTCTCCCCTTCCCTTCTCCCTCCTTTCCTTACTCCTCCTACCCCTCCTTCCCCCTCTCTCTCATCTCCAAACTCTCCTCACGATCTCTCTCCTTCCCTTCTCCCTCCTTTCCCTACTCCTCCTACCCTCCTTCCCTCCTCCTCCATTTTTCCCTCATTCAACCCTTCTTTTTTCCCTTTCTCCCTCCCTTCCTCCTTCCCCTCTCTCTCATCTCCAACTCTTCCCCTTCCCTTCTCCCTTCCTTCCCCTCCTCCTCCCCTCTCTCTCATCTCCAATCTCTTTTTCCTTCCCTTCTTCCCTCCTTCCCTTACTCCACCTTCCCCTCCTACTCCTCTCCTCCCCCCTCCCTCATCTTCCAACTCTTCCTCACCTATCTCTTCTCCTTCCCTTCGCCCTCCTTTCCCTACTCCTCCTTTTCCCCTCCTACTCCTCCTTCCCCCTCTCTCTCATCTCCAATCTCTTCCCTTCTCTTCTCCCTCCCCTTCTACTCCTCCTTCCCCCTACTCCCTCATCTCCAACTCTTCCTCACCGATCTCTCTCCGTGTAGGTGACGCGGCGTTGCCTGGCAACAGCAGCACCAGCATGTAGGGCGTCCACAGCATCCGGCTGCGAACGAGAGCAAACCGCCCCGTTAGTCGTCGGTGTGCCGAGCGTTGGGAGTGGGGTGGGGGGGGAGGTGGGCGAGGTGGTGGGGAGTGGGGGGGGGAAGGGTGGAGGTGGGGAGGGAGGGGATGGTGTGGGGGAGTAGGAGGGGAAGAGGAAGGGGCGAGGTGAGGAGGTGAGGAGGAAGGAAGGTGGAGAGGGAAAAGTTGGGGAGGAGTAAGGGAGAAGGGGAGGTGGGAGGGTAGGTGGAGGAAGAGTTGGGGAGGAAGGGGAGGTGGGTGGAGTTCAGGAGGAAGGGGGAGGGGAGGGTGGTGAGGAGGTGGGTGGGGGAAGTTGGGGGTGGGGGGAGGTGGAGGTAGGGGAGGTGGGGGAGGATTAGGAGGGAAGGAGGACAGGGGGAGTGAGGGGGGTGAGAGGAAAGGGGAGGTGGAGGGAGGAAAAAGTGGTCGAGGAGTAAGGAGGGAAGGGGGAGTGGGAGGTAGGTGGAGAAGAGTTGGGAGAAAGGGGGAGTGCGGTGGGAGTCAGGAGGAAGGGGGAAGGGGAGTGGGAGGTGTGGGGGGGAAGTTGGGAGGTGGGGGAGGTTTGGGGGGCAAGGGGGAGGTGGGAGGGAGGTCAAGGAGGAAGGGTGAGGTGGGGGAGGTAAGGAGGAAGGGGGAAGGGGAGGTGGGAAGGAGGTGAGGAGGAAGGGGGAAGGGAGGTGGGAGGGAGGGAGGAGGGAAGGGGGAGGGTTGGCGGGAGTGCAGAGGAAGGGGCGAGGTTGGGGGAGGTTGGAGGGGAAGGGGGAGGTGGGAGGAGGTTCGGAGGAAAGGGGGAGCGGTGGGGGAGATGGAGGGAGGTCAGGAGGAAGGGGGAGGTTGTGGAGGAGGTGAGGAGGAAGGGGGAGGTTGGGGGAGTGTAAGGAGGAAGGGGAAGGGGAGGTGGAGGGAGGTGGGGTGCGGTGGGTGGAGGTTGAGGAAAAGTGGGGTGAGGTGGGGGGAGGTTGAGGGGGAGGGAGAGTGGAGTAGGAAGGGGCGAGTGGAGGGAGTGGGAGGTCAGGAGGAAGGGGGGAGGTGAGGAAGACGGGTAAGGAGGAAGGGGAGAGGTGCGGAGAGGTAAGGAGGAAGGGGAGGGCGGAGGTGGGGAGGAAGGGGGAGGTGGTGAGGAGGAGAGGGAGGCAGAAGAGTGCGGGAGGGGAAGGATGGAAAAGTGGGGAGGAGGAAAGAGTTAGGTGAGGAGGGAGGAGTTGGAAGAGGGAAGGAGAAGCAAGGAGGTGGGAAGAGTTAAGAGTAGGAGGTGGGAGGAGAAGAGTGGGGAGGAAGAAAGAGTAGGAGATGGGAAGGAGAAGCGGAGGTGGGAGGGAGGAAGAGTGGGAGGAGGAGTAAGGAAAGATGGGGGAGGAGGGTAGATGGGATGTGGGAGATGGGGAGGAAGGAGGAGGAAAAAGGAAGGCGGGGGTGGAGGAAGTTGGGAAAGTCAATCATAAAAATTCCTGAAGTTCGAAAGTCTATAAAAAATCTCAATGCAAAGTGTATCATCCATTAAACAATATTAAAAAAGAAAAAAAAAAAAAATACACGAAGCAAAATGTTATTCTATCGTTTCATTATCTTTATAAGTATTCACAGAACGCATCTAAAATGGTATATTTTCCACTGTAAACTTGTTCTCCATTTTAGTAATTTCATCATCTCCACATCATCATTCATCATTCCCCTTTTCTTAAATTCATCATCAAACCACTTGAGTTCAGCCACTTAACGTCAACCATTTTCCACTTAAATAAACTCACCATCCACTTTAACAACCTCTACATCCAAACCATCCACCTTAGCAAGCTCTATAAATCCACTTAACAA